TGGCGCGATCTATGGCATTGTGCGCCTGCGCCGATCTAAATTGTTGGTTTAATCGAGCTTTTTGTAATCGCAGTTTGAATTGTGAATGCAATACTTTTCTGATTGTCCGATAAGTGCAAAAAATACAACGGGAATGTAGAAAGAATTACATCGGCTGTGCTTTATAAATTGCATTGTTTCATAAACATGCACTTGCTTATTATTTCAATAGGAGATTGTTTATAGCTTCATACTTAAGTCCATTATTTCGACTGATGTTACTTTCTTATAATTTTCATTATGATTAGTTTCGTATTATTTTCTACTTAGAGAACCTTTCTTAGAAGTTGAATTGAAGTTTGAATACTTACGCGAACCGGATGTTGTCGAAATTATGCCAATTAGGGATAATCGTGAACTGATCTTTGTATAATTATTATTTAACACTTGTTCAAAAGAAATTCAAAATTCATTCCTTTACTTACTAATGCCCACTCTGTGAACTCATGATATCATATAAGTCTGTGTTACTCTTTGTCTCTCGCCCACTCTATTCATCTACTATACCTTTGTGTTAAAGATTTAAAGATGGTAGGCCACTGATGTATTACATTATCGTGAATAGTTCAGTTCAGAACGAACAACTCAATTAGACATCTTGATGAATTGAATGACTAATGAAAGTACTTTTGTGAAGCGTTTAGGTGGTCCAAATAAGACCACCCAAATCATAATCGATGTAAGGAAACATGTAATTTATTAATTGTCAAGATGTGACCCACAAAATAAAGCTTGTTTGGGTAATGTTTTAAGTCCTACATAATCTTAGTTTAATAATCTCCTTCTTACTACGTAATTCTAGAACGGCTTAACAGATTTTGCTGAAATTTAGTACAGATGTAGAGCATAGAGAATCTGGAAGAGTATAAGGTACTAATTCAGATTTTTTTTAATTCCGCACGGCCGGATTCTTGGACTACAGAATAAAGTTAACGTTTACATTTTGTTTTTATGAGTTAAAATTGATTATTAAAAAATACTTTACTGCTATTTATTTGCTACACATTCCTTATAGATTATATGGATATATCTATGTTCTAAATAACTCAATGAGAACATCATGTATACAATCATATAACATTGCTAACAACCAACTAGGGTCCATTAATCATCGTTAAATTATTGGTAATTATATTTTAACGTTAGTAATTTATAGACGTACAGACACAAGTGAAAGTTTAAGCAGTATCTAATATTGTTCTTTGGTTTTCTATTGATCTGTGAGTATTCGACCAAAGTATGAAGTAATTTATATTGGTTAACTATTTCATACAGATATGTTAACGGAGTGGAAGGAGTAACTTAATAAAGTAGTAAAGTTTGTGAATATAGATTTATATTAGTTGTCGAAAGTTGTTACAATACATTAAAGTATACAGAATGTAAAAGTTAGTGACTTCAATCGCTTCATATAAAAGACTTCAACGCTTTTCAGATTCCGTTTTTTCATCAGCATTTAGCACTGAAAGTAATAGAATAGAATATCCATAAAGATCTTACAACAAATTCAAAATCAATTTAAAGTTTTTAACAAAATCATAAAAATTATGAACTGTCAAGACTCATAGATATAATTTTTTTTAATAATACAAGTTGGCAAACGAGCAAGTGGCCAACGGAATCCATCTAAATGGAAAGCGACTGCTGCCCATAAACATCCACGATTGCAGATGCGTTGCCTACCCATATATGTTTATTAAGTTATTAAAATAACTACTTACAACTTTAATAAATCCTAACCATATTAACTATCGAGTGATCAAGGACACGGAGTAATGTGACCGTAAGTCAGGAGCTTCACTAGAACTGGAGCTTTACTAAGGCATTAATAACTACTGCCCTTCCGTTGGTACCTGCGCAAATAAAATGTTACTGCAGCATTTATCGTCCTGGCAGCGTGTCCCGTCCCACAGGACCTCGCTTGTACCGCGGCAGCGACAATTAAGACTTAATACCGCCAACTGAAGTTGTTTTATGCAAATCAGTACGAGGCTCGCGTGTTGCGACGCCTACTCGGTATTTGAACGTAGCTTCTATATTTAAAATGCTCTCTATAAATATTCCAAGTGGTAAATTGTGATTGGCCTGTCAGTGTTCTCGATTTATGTTGAAAAGTTGACTTTTAGAAAGACTTTATTTAATTATTTTTATTTTAGTTATAATTTAAATTACTGCCATTTGTAAATTGATGTAATATTTTTTATGATTACGTTTTGCGTTAATTTAATGTGTATAAGGTTAGTCTGGACCTAGATAAAAAATATTTAAGAAAATATACGTTAAATAAAAGCTATTTTGTCTGGAAATTATAAAGGGTCATGTTACTAGTATATTAATATATTACTAGCTTTTGCCCACGACTCCGTCCGCGTGGAATTAAAAAATAAAAGTGAGTAGCCTATGTGTTCTTCAAGACTATCCTCTACATCTATACCAAATTTCACCGAAATCCGTTCAGCCGTTTAGGCTACAAACTCTAACAAACATCCATCCATCTATCTTAACTTTCGCATTTATAATATTAGTGAAATTAGTAAGATTTTGCATATATTCATGTATTATTTTGCATATTTTCATCCTTCTGTCTCTTTACTTAAAGATTTAACTTTATGTTACTTACCATTTGTAATTTTTATAACTTAGATGAGCTTTTTTCATTATCGACATGAAAGTTTCGTAGGCAATGTGTAAATAAAAGAATACTTATGAATCATAATCAATATATTTAATAAGCTTATTGAAATATAAATAGTTTTATAAGTTAATAATTCGTATATAAACTTAATTTGGACGGAACCCATCACAATATACGTACACAATGTAAGCATATTACAATAACATAATTGTCACATAATTACTATGTGGTGCTGAAAATATATATATTTACACAGTTACCGATTATGTACAACATATTTATTTTTACGATTATTGTAAAAAAAAGCGAATTAATAATTCATCTCGAAATTTATACACAATATTTCTTCCATTTAAATACACTAAAAACTTTACCAATAAAAACCTTTTCAAACACTTTTGTAATAACTTATCCCTATAGTGATTACAAGGTAAATTAATTTTATGTGCATAAAAATCCTGAACAAATATTTCAGTTCAAGGCTCTATGACGTTCAGCCAAAAAAACTGCAACAAAGATAACTTCCTGGCTCTTAATTATTATTTTAATTTAAAGTGAAAAAACCCAATTGTAAATACTAATTGTTTATTCCAAATAATATATTATTCTAAATTATATATTTATAAAAATAATTTAACACTTAAATCTACTTAATCTAATATCACACTTTTATTTATAAAGTAACAAGATGTTACAAACTTAGTTAGTAATATTTGTACCATACGTAAATGTATGTATTTATATACCGTACCGTAGATGATTAAATACTGTTCATTATATACATAAGACGGGAAATACATATGTACACCGAAGCGACATCTTCAAAAGTTTTCAGGTAGCATCCCTAGCGCTGTTTCGTTGATGTTTCGCTGCAACAAAAAATAATAATTAAAAAACCATAAGCATTTCTCCTTCATTAAAATAATCTGAATCGGGTGCAGATAATTCAAATTTAATTATTTAATTTTTTTCTCTTAATTCAGATCAAATATATTATTAACTAGTTGTTGCTCGCGACTTCGTCCGCGTGAAATTAATAAATACTAAAAAGCATTAGCCCATGTTACTTAAAGATAAATTAACTTTCTAAGGGTGAAACAATTTTTATAATCGGCCCAGTAGTTTTTGAATTATGCATGCAAACATACAAATCTTTCCTCTTTATAATATATCATAGATTCTACCTGTACAATATTGAATTAAACGTTTTATTCTACTATAATAACATCTGATTTTAACAATATTAGATTTCGTGTGTTATTTCCCTATAAGAAATACTTACCGGTGTGTAAAAATAGATGGTTTTTCAGATTGGTATGCTTCGAGAATCCTCGGGAGCAGATGTGACACTTATAGGGCCAGGATCCACTGTGCACGTACATGTGAGACTTCAAGTCTCCTGGCGTCGGGAAAGACTTGGAGCATAGATTGCATTTATGCGGCTTCTCCTGTTGAAGAAAAAAAATCATTTAGTTATTTATCATAAATTTACTTCAGCTTTTTCTATTCATACAAAATTTAACTGTCGTCAAATGCTTTATTTTTTTAATTACGTTTAACAATCTGAACGATGTTTAGCCGATATTTTAATGTTTAACAGCTTCTTTTTGCTAAACTGTTATTTCTTTATATATTTATCAAAGTGTCACTAATTCAGTATTCGACAGTGAGTCCCTTAAGCATAATGTACAAATCAGATTTAATAACAACACCATCTAAAATTCATGAACTAAAAAATCGACAAAATAACAACGATTCAACATTCCATTGTAAAGCTTAATAAAGCAGCTCGTGATGTTGCACAGAGATAATGATCAGAAAAAAGAAAACAAAACAGAATCAATGTTGGAAGACAATAAAACGCCTAATAATCATCACATCCAATATAATCAAAGTCATGACATTGCACATCATGCGTAGAGCGTGCAAATGAATTTATAATGCGCGTGCGGTGAACAAACCAGTTGCGGTCAGGCCAGAAGTTCTACCGACTGCCGTTGAAGCCGCTCAGATGATGCGGCACTTTTAACATTACTACAGGATAATTGAAATTTTTAAACATTCTTTTATTTTAAAGTAATGTTTTGTAATATAACAAAACCGACAATAGAAAGAGATATTTGAAATGTTTAATTATGTAATTGTAAAAGGTAGAATATTAATAAAGACAGGCCCTTAACCTTAGTTAGTAGGTAGCGCATTGTGTACTACTGTCCCATAATCTACTAGTATTAAAAATCAACCAAAAAAATTGGGAAGCACCTGCAAGCATTACCTTTCGGATAAGAAAAGAATTATCAAAATCGTTCCACTAGCGGCGGAGTTATGCCGTAACACACATAAAAAAAACATACAGACGAATTGAGTACCTCCTTCTTTTGGGAAGTCGGTCAAAAATCTGTACAAACTAAAGTTTGAATACTGATTTTTTAGGCGCAATTATTATCCATGCGATAAATTTCTTAATTCTTTCCCCAAAACACAATTATTACGCAAAGAATATGTATTTAAAACTGTTCTAAATTCAAATATTACCCACAATAGTAATAACCAAATGAATAAAGAAATTCTTAGACAATAGCGGCATAGATTAGAGAGCATTAAAAGTAAATGTTTCTACCAATTTTGACGGTATTTAAGTGGAACTACCGAGCATCTGCGGTAGTTCGTGTAATGACCATTAGATGGACACAAATGACAAGTGTCCCAGTAAGTAAGAATACGGTAAATGACTAACGATTCTCATTATCATAAATTGTATCTAAAGCTTAGGAAGCACGCATATAAAATCTGTTCTGTAATAAAAATACAATAAACATAGATAAAGGAGTAATTATGCTGTAACTGAAAATCAATATATGAATAACTAGTTTTTGGTCGCGACTTCGTTCGCGTGGAATTAAAATTAATAATAGTACTTAAACATAGCTTAATGTAACTTTCTTGTGGTTTAAAATTTTTTGAATTCGCTCCAGTACTTTATGAGATTTCTTACATATAAAATACATTAACACTTTTTAAACTCTCATTTCCTCTTTTTAACACTAGTATAGATTTGTTTCTATTGAAATCTCTATTTTTTTTAACAGTGGTAGAGCCCACTTTAACATCATCGCACGAATGGATTGATTTGCCCGGTGCAATACCACGACCATACAGAAGACAGGGGTGAAGTGGGTGCAATTCCGCATTTCGTCTGATGAGTGTGATGCCGGAGGTGATGGTGGAGGAGACGCATGGGAAAAGAAAATATCCTCTTTATGTGCGGCTCATCCTTCGTCTATCAAGGGTAGGCAACGCAATCACCTTCGCGAATGTCTATGGACAGCGGTCGCTTCACCATTTTGGCGGATTCAGGTGGCCGCTTGCACGTGTGTTACCTTGCGATATAAAAAAAAATTAACTTGTCACGTTTAACCGTAACTTCAAAATGGGTGCCAAACATTCGCTTAACATGTTAATGTACTCGTATATGACTAACAAGCATTCATAGAAATAAATCTTGTATGTTCTTACTTCATTGATAACAGTGATTGTTCAATGTCAAAATCATACTAATATAAATGCGAATGTTTAGATGGATGGATGTTTGTTAGAGTTTGTAGCCTAAATGGCTGAACGGATTTCGAAGAAATTTTGTATAGATGTAGAGAATAGTCTGGAAGAACATATTGGCTACTTTGTTTTTTTTTTTAATTCCACGCGGACAGAGTCGCGGGCGAAACTAGTTTTCATATTTTATACAATAATTAAGTCTGAATTTAGATTGTGGCCAATTATAACCACTTTTGAGCTCTCAATATTAATATCGGAGTATGAAATAGAATTATAATAACCGGGTACCCTCCCTCTTTATAAAACCAGTGCACGATAATTAGACAATATTATAGCATTTAAAGAACTGTTACTTGTTACGAAGACAAAATGTATTTGATTTTAATTCCTGTTATTTTATAGTTTTTTTTTTTTTTGATAGTCAATCTTAAAACTAAATGATACGTATATCTGTACTCTATACTAATATTAAAAAGGAAAGATTTGTATTTTTGTATTTTTGGTATGAATTCAAATAACTCAAAAACTACTGGGCCGATTTTAAAAGTCTTTCACCGATACAAAGGTAATTGATCGGTTAGTGATATAGGTTATTTTTCAATTTTACGCAGACAAAGTTGCGACCAACAGTTAGTATTTTAGTAATAACTAGTATTTTAGTAATGATAGATTTAATACTATTGTTACTTATCTAGTATTTAAATATTACCTACGTTATTTAGATTTAACTAGCTTTCGTCCGCACTTCCGTTCGCGTGGAATTAAAAAAAAAACAAACGTGAGTAGCCTATGTGTTCTTCCAGGCTATCCTCTACATTTATACCAACTTTAGGCTACAAAGTCTAACATCCATCCATCTAAACTTTCACATTTATAATATTAGCATGAAAAGTATCAGTATGAAGTATGGTAAAAGAGGTTTCATCTGTTAAAACTTCTGTTTATTTAACTATTTAATAATACTGCATATTTTCAGTAGTCGTTATTATTAAATAACACTGAAATAATAAATTTATAGGTGTGAGTATTAACAGTTACTTCATTTCCTCTGATCATATGTTAATCAAGTCCAATAATCCAATTTCGTTTCTATACATCCTCCCATTTAATTTTCGCTAGCCCGCCCATAATCTACACGCATCAAAGAACCTATAATTATAGTCGGGCCAATTTAAAAAGTGCCCCCGTAATGTATTCAAGCGTGTTAGTGTAAGCCATATTTTATACGGACGGGTTGCTTCCCCAGTGGCTTAATCAACTTGGTCCAAAAAAAACGTATCCCAACATTATTTCGACCTTTCTCGCTACCGAATATTGCAATATATAAATCAATAAACAAAGAACCATTAGTTGTCTGACAATTTCCGTTGGATAAATCACGGCGCGCGGCAAAAACCTGGCCCGTCTTACGTACAGATAATGAAGGAATCTTTTAGAGCGGGCGCACACTGTTGACTAAATTGTCGCACAATGTTGCGATTGTCGATTGTTTAGTTGCACAACTAAAATTCGAGTAGTGTCCGTACCTCCATATAAGCTCATAGGAATCAAAGCGCAATTAAACAGTCGTGCGATAGTTTAATCAACGGTGTGTGCGCACTTTTGAATCACGAAACAAACTAATAATACGGTATGAAATATTAAAATTGGATTTTAAAACTCAAAAAAAAAGACAAAGAAATATTAAATCTAGATTTGAAATGTCTTACACATCACCGATTTAAACTATTTTTATTATTAATTCGAATTATTAATAGTAGACTTATCAATTTAAATGAATGAAAAAGGATCACTCCGTATAATCCACTCTTGATAGCTAAATCGTTCGTTCGATCACCGATCCGTTGAGGGTTCGTATCTCTTCGGTACAGTGACGTATGGTCAGCTGATACGCAGCGCCGGCTTATGGAAATCGAATGCAAATTCAAAGCCCGGCGCTTAATTTACTTAAAATAAATTGATGCGACGCAAACTCGCGTGCGGGGCTATTAGGTTACCGTATCGTTAGGGTTTTTGCCCGAACCGAATACATGCAGTTGATTTTGACTTAGTAAGAACTTAAATCGTTACATTAATTATATAAAGCTACTGTTTTATAAATACGCAGAAATGGTTTTAACTATAATAATGTTATAATGAGAAAAGATTTTTATTTTATATGTATTGAAATAAATCAAAAACTACTGGGACGATTTTATTTTTTTTTACACCATTTACAAGCAACGTTATCAGTGTAACATATTTATTTATATAAGTATACAGAACAGCTAACTTAACCACACAATTACATAGGAAAATAGAACAAGTATATATAAAACCGATAAATTAACGATTAGGTGCATAACCACATTATCAGAAACAATTTACTGAAATTAAATTTTAGTTGCTAAAGTTAAGTAAGTAAAATAGACTTTGTTTTTATTATTTTTTTAATGTCACGAAGTCGCGAGCAACAGCTAGTTTTAGATATAGGAGCAAAGTATATAGAACAAACTTAAAAAAAAGGTGACATTTAAGTAGCGCGTATAAAAAACTAGGGGACGATTACGTAAGAATTATTTTGTTCGAATTCTACAGTCTATTTGAATAAATAATTATTGATGCCTCAATAAATATCAGTACAGTTCTAATCTTTTAACCTTTACTAATTAATAACTATAGCCCAATTATCTCAGTACCCGACTAATCAATATCGGAGTGTCGGTAGAATCTTAAGACAAGACCCACATTAATTGGTCCCTCGTATCTTATATCGAGTTATGATCGTCTCCGGACCACTCGAAGACCACGGACTTTTTATTGCTAAGTAATAAAGAGTTCCTTGATGGATCACCGTGAAATTCAAACTGCAATATATGAATCACAACACGTAGATGCAAAATATTACTCATAT